CTCTGTCTCTGGTGAAGCCTCTCACCACCCCTGAGCCTCTGGCCTGTACCCCAGTTCTGTATGCATAAATAAATAAATCTTTAAAAAAAAATACATGCCTAAGTTTATGTACATAGAATGAAAATGTCCAGAGGAATTCGAGTAACAATGCAATTTCTCAATAAATGCTTAAGCCTTGGGGAGGCATCAGTGCCTTAAGCTCAAATTTACAGAACAAACCTTGCCCTCTAAATATGTATGTGAAGTAGAAGCAAGAAATTAAACCTTTTCACTAATTTAATTCCTTTATGTGTTTGTCATAAAGCTAATAAGAATTATTCTGCTATTGCTGGCACTTTGATCATAGAGAAATGGTTCAGGATGTAGTGGTCCAAGTTATTCTTAGGCTTTCATGTTCAGCGACTGACATGGGAATAGAGAATCTTGATTGACACCATAAGCAGTCAGTTAATGGGAGGAGGTGATGTGAAATATTCTATGTAATATTTCAGTTAAGTTTTCAAAAATTATTTACTTTTAAAATTTTGACTCCTGCAAATAAAAGGCACAAGTCATATTTTTATGTATGATTTTAAAAATTATGTTCTCTAACCCTGTTTTCATCGACTGGTTTCAGATACATAAGCAATGTTTGTTTGTTTGTTTTTTTTTTTGTTTTTTTTTAAAGATTTATTTATTTATTCATACAGAACTGGGGTACAGGCCAGAGGCTCAGGGACGGTGAGAGGCTTCACCAGAGACAGAGTGGGGAGAAGAACAGGCAGATTGACGAAGTACACTGCTGAGGGGAGCAGCGGGCGGGTCAGGAGAGGTCTGGCTCGCCATGTGGTCTCCTCCGGGGCAGGCGGCAGGCGGGAATCGAACTCATGCGGAAGTGGCTTCAGATTCTCAGTGCTGTGCTTTAACCCGCTGCGCCACCAGGGAGGGCCTGTTTGTTTGTTTTTATCCTGCTATAAATTACTTAATTTTAACTATTCTTGTTCAGTTTTGTTTGTTCAGAATGGAAGTGTTAATGCCATTATTCTGTGGTAATTATAATAAGCAGTATTATACAAAGCTGCTATTAAAAAAAATAATATTGGTACTAGATAGTAAGTTGTTTTTCTTCAAAGTGGCTTTATCTTAGGGAAAAACTGAATGCTAAAGTACCAGTTAAAGTTTATTATATGTGATTCCTTGTGTTTTTTGCTAATTGGTTTGTTAAAAAACACACATACACACTACAATTTTAAAGAACACCATACATATTTTTCTTCAAAGCAGTGTATAAGTTTCCTGAAAGTTGTAGCCACTGTTTTATACTTTTGTTTCTAGCATCTCAACGCAAGATGCCATTTTTTTCCTCAGCCATCTGTATTTTATTTTAATTATATTATGTTTTAAGTGTATAACTTTATTTTTAGTTTTTTTTTCATTTAAATACATCTGTAGGTTAATTACCTTTTCCCTTAAGTCTCATCTTCCCTCACACTCTGCATTAATTTGAGTTGGAATGTATCACTTAAAACTTTAGGCTTAATGCTAGATAAGTAGAATTGGTGCTTTTTATTTCATTTCCATTTGAAAGAATGTGGCAGTTTTCATTTTTGAAGGAGAAATTGAGGTGTTTTTAATAAAAGTATGCAGTGACTAGTGTTCATTGTCTGTGTGGCTTTTTTTTTTTTTTTTAAAGTTCTTTAAAAACATTCTTTTGTGGGTTCCAAGTTCTCTTTAAATTTTACCACCTACAGTCACTGCCTACAGAGCCATGTGATCATCTTGGCAGCAGCCAGGCCTTTTAGTGATTTCATTACTGTGGTTTCCTCAAGCTCTTTACACACATTGATTAATATTTTCCTTGCAGTTATCGCTGTGATGATTTTGTGGTTAATGACACCAAGCTGGGACTGGTACAGAAAGTCAGAGAACACTTACAGAACTTGGAAAAGTAAGTAATAAGCCTAGGTAAGAAAGGGGACAGAATGGGGTTGAAGGCCCTTTAGAATTTTCAGTGGTATTTTTGTTTATGAGTTCTGTAAATTCACTTTGTTTTCAGTGTGATTGAAATGGTAGTAAAATAAACTTTGGATGTGGTTCCCTGAAACGGTGCCCATAGTTAATGATGGTAGCTATGTATTTATTTCATTTAATTTTTATCACTAGCTCCATCCAAAGGCCTGTTTTTTTGAGTCAGTACCCACCAATATAATCTACTCAGTATACTTGCAATGGAAACTTTGAAGGTGCAAGGAAAGCTCAGAATGTGATATAAAATCATGATAGTTACTTTTAATATTAGAAAAACCTTGTCAAATGTATTATGAGGTCTTCTTAGCACTAACATTTATGCATTGTTTTTAAGGGAAATGAGGTTTAATTATATTATGGTCCTCTTTATGTGTATATAATAGCATGGTGCGCTAGCGTCTTTCCTTTTTTGTTAGGAGTAGTTACACCACTTGAAATTATAAGGAGTTGTGAAGTGTTTTATTCCATAAAGAAAGTACTTTTATAAATAGGTTTTTCTTGCTATAGCCACTTAAATTATTCAGATGAAATTCATTGGGCCAAAGTTCAAGTAATAAAGAGAAATCCAAATAGCATTGCCTTTAAAGCTACAGTGAATAGAAACATGACCATGGAGTTTTGTGTGAATCGCCCATAATTGTTTGTCAGGTGCCATCTACTTAATTTTGATAGTTGATAGATAAAAGGTATTGTGAAAACATGCCAAAATTTGAGTCCTCTGGCAAACTTAAATGTGAAACCAGTAAACTATTTTTAAATTGTTTACTAATGTTTATTAGTTGAATGAAATACTGGATAGATTTGGCTAACCAAAATATTTATGTTTCATTGACTACGTAGATTTAAAGCTGGTAAAGGAAGAATAATTGATATATTTAAAATCTAAACTAATTAAAAACATTGGTTTTAAATAACTTTGGCTTGTTTTTTGACTTTTCTTTTTCAAAGTGCTTCCTCCCTTTTAATTTTTTTTTTTTTTTAAAGATTTATTTATTTGTACATACAGAACCGGGGTACAGGCTAGAGGCTCAGGGGCGGTGAGAGGCTTCACCAGAGACAGAGTGGGGAGCAGAACAGGCAGATCGACGAAGCACACTGCTGAGGGGAGCAGCGGGTGGGTCAGGAGAGGTCTGCCACACCATGTGGTCACCTCCGGGGCAGGCGGAAATCGAACTCGTGCGGAAGTGGCTTTAGCTTCTCAGTGCAGTGCTTTAACCCGCTGCGCCACCTGGGAGGGCCCTTCCCTTTTAATTTTAAGAGTAGCATGAGCACTATCTAGAATTAGATAATACAGTTATACATACACAGATCAAGAATACTTAACTTTATCTGAAATTGTCACAATTAACTGTAAAGTAGGAGATTCCTGCAGTAATTTATATAATAGCACTCTTTAATGTGGTAATGCCATTGTAAATATCTTGCTAACTTTCTTCATTGTAGAAGTAGGCTTGCTACCACAATATTTTTTCTGCTACTTGTAGTGTTTCTCTAAGAAAAGACTACCATCTCAATTCCTAATAAGTCAAACAGAACATTTGTGCAGCTAACAAACATTTTATTTCCATTGACCACTGCCTCAGGTGAAAGATGTCGCAGACCATCTTGTCTCTACTTCTACTTGGACCCATAGAAAAATTTTATCTTGAAATCCTTTCCTAAGTTCATTTCTATATTTTTAAACATAGGTTTCAATCTATACTAGAACCTTTACTTTTAAAACTGTGACTATATTTGTATTTTATTTTACATTATTTTGCTTATTCTCTGGAGTAGTACTGTGCTATGGAACTTCCTGAAGTGAAGGAAATACTCTGTTGCACACTGTCCAGTATGGTAGCCACTTCACACATGTGGTTCTTAAGCACATGAAAAGTGGCTAATGTGAATGAAGAACTGAATTTAAAATTTTAAATTTAAGTAGCCACATGTAATTAGTGGCTGCTATGTGATATAGAATCTAGGGGATTCAGCCATTTTGAGAATCACTGAGGGTAAAATTTAATATCTTATGATTCAGAAAGCTAACTTAGCTCTATTTAATACAGTAAAACTGAAAGTTAACTATTAGCAGTGTCACTAAGTATACTGTGTGATTTAATTTCTTTGCTTATATATCGGAATTAATCTCCTCTTGCTTTGTAGTCACTATTTCTATGAGAAGGTGTGCACACAGTTTTGAAGAGACTGTCAGTAGGTCTGGTCCTCCAAGGTTGTTATAGTTCATGTGGAAATTTTGGAAAGAAAAATACTTATATATTAATTTGGATTAGCCTGGTATTTTCAGAAGATGAGAAAAAATTGGTACACTTAAAAGTCTGGCTTTAATAACTTTTATTTCCTTTAGTTTAGTTTTCTTGCAACAATAATTTTAAAGTGACCTTTGGAGATAAGATCTTCTGATAGTAAAGAAATTTTCTGATAAATATAAAATATCTTTCATCAAGAAAAATTTGCAATAATTTAAATTCTGTATTTCTGTGCTAGTTAGGATTTGTGAGCATAGCTGAGTCAAATGAATTTATATCACCTATACTTTATCATCCCTTGAATTCAGATTATGCCCTAATTTATTATGAAATGAGCAAGACATGAAACCTTTCTGAAAATTATGAAAGAAGTAGCCTTGTATATATACTTTATAATAATTATCAGAATAATTATGTCAGAACCAGGTTCCCTCTTTGTTTTGAGGAATGGGTCTCTTGTTTTTGAAGCTTCATAATTGATTAGGCAGAAGGGTGAGAAAGGGGGATTGTCTCACAGACTACATCTACCAGGCCAGTTTTCCTAAGAAGTGCCTAGTGTTTGCAGTTTACAGTCCCACCCTGCTGGAGAAACAGTGGGGACTTGCAAGCAAAGTAGAACTCCTTCAACTATACAGTGGGCCTAATAGGTTACTTCCTCCTGTAAGCAGCGATGGCAGGTGCTTAGGACAGCTAGTTATTCTTTATTCTGCTGTGCAGTATGTATATATATTGTCTTTTTGACTCTGTTTGTTTGTGTCTTAATAGCTCAGCTTTTACAGCTGACAGGCATAGGAAAAGAAAACTTTTGGAAAATTCTTCACTAAACAGCAAGTTATTAAAAGTAAATGTAAGTAAAATTTATTCAAATATGAGTTCTTTGAGAGCTAATGACTGTTTTACTACATCTCTAACATCAATGCTGTCCCTTAAAAGTGTAAATATATGCCTTGGATTTACAGTATTTTATAAAATACTTACCACTTTTACTAATGCTTCTTAGTGTAACTAAATACCCAAGGGTTTCCATCTGTGAGTAGCTTCCTTCCACCAGGATTGCTATGTACACGCCATTGTCTTAGCAAGTGTTCCTTCTTAACATATACTCATGTACCTTTTATTGGACCCCAGAGAACCTTGCTTCTATTAAAGTTTCCTAGTGCAAATCCCCTCAGGGACCCTCCCTGGTGGTGCAGCGGGCTAAAGCGCAGCACTAAGAAGCTAAAGCCACTTCCACATGAGTTTGATTCCCGCCCCAGAGGTGACCCACATGGCATGGCAGACATCTCCTGACCCGCCCATTGCTCCCCTCAGCAGTGTACTTCGTCAGTCGGCTTATTCTGCTCCCCATTTTGTCTCTGGTGAATCCTCTCACTGCCGCTGTGTCTCTGGACTGTACCCCCAGTTCTGAATGCATAAATAAATAAATCTTAAAAAAAAAAATTCTATGTCCCTGAAATTTTGGTTAAGTTTTTTAAAAAATTTAAAAAATGTATTTATTTACCTATGCACATGGAACTGGGCTACAGGCCAGAGGTGCAGGGGCAGTGAGAGGTTTCATTGGAGACAGAGTGGGGAGCAGAATAGGCTGCCTGATGAAGTACACTGCTGAGGGGAGCAGTGGGCGGATCAGGAGAGGTCTGCTGCGCCATGTGGGTCACCTCCAGGGCCAGGTATCCAACTCATGCTAAACCTCCAAGTGCTGCACTTACTCTCTGCGCCACCAGGGAGGGCCCAATTTTGGTTAAGTTTTAATTCTTAGGACTTTTTTTTTTTAATTACAAATGTTTATTTTTACATCATTTTGTACATTTTTTTCCATCTCAATTGTAATCCCCGCGGGTTTCCCATCACCAAGTCACCCATGTGCCATCACTATAATCCCGTGCATTTCCCTCCTCCCACCCCGTTCTTAGGACTTTTTAATACAACTTCACTATGAAAGAGTATGCTTCCTCATTCTGGTAACCATCTATTCTAGATGTTGAGCCAATAATGGATGAGGAAAATTTAAAGATCATTGAATATTTTTATACCAGTATACAAAATTGTGCTAATAGTTTTGTCTCTGATGTCATGCTGGCTATGTTGGATATACACTTAATCAAAGGTGTTATGATTTTGTGAAAAAGTGATAAAGTGCTCTCTGGCCATGTGACCTATGGGCAGAGGTGCTATGGATTTGGCTAGTATGTTCACCTCCCAGGCATAGTATTCCAACATCATGGAGCATTTGTAGAGCTAATCAGAAAACCAAGCCTGAGCCTTTAAGAGAAGTTCAGATATTTTGAAAGATTAATATCCCATTGTTAGGGAAATAGGTATTGGCTATTTATGCACAGCTTAGAGCTAAAAGTTTGGGGACAGAAATACTTGGGGTATATATATTTGTGTTTTTAATTTTTGGTAGTTCTGATAGACTCTTAAAAGGCACTAAGTATTAAGTATTAGATCTTCCTGATTTTTGCACTGTGTACTCCGTGGTACTGATTGATGTTGACTTCCTCATAAATTTCCACAAGATACACCCATTTACAACCATCCCAGAAGCAGAAAGAATCTTCTAAAAATATGTAACACTTATATAAAGTGAAAGGGAGTTTGAAATATACATTGCAAAGAAAAGGACCAATTCCAAATACTGACCTTTGCTTTGCTTTGCTTTGCTTTACTATGTGATAGGTGACCTTCTCAGTGTTACTGATGGCCTCTTTTTGTCCCATTTTACAGGGAAGCACCACTGCCATTTGTGCCACAGGCCTTCGGAATTTGGGGAACACATGTTTCATGAATGCCATCCTTCAGTCACTCAGGTGATAATACGTTCAGAGCTAATGTGTCTGTTATTCTAGCAGTCAAGGTGAAATGTTCTGTATCTGCCACTGACTTTAGTCAGTGACTTGGAGCTAGTTACCTTAGATTTCTGTGCCTTAGTTTACTCATCAGTAAATTGGGGGTGGTTATTCTGTAGGGTAGTGGAAACATTATGCAATATAATTTCTATGAAGTGCTTAGAACAGTGCTTAGTGGTAAATAAATTAATTGTTCACTTTTTCCTATTACTGCTCAACAGACTAGAACAGAGGTCACTACATTTTTCCTATAGATGCTAGAGAGAAAATATTTCAGTCTTGCATGCCATTTACTGTCTTTCTCACATATTGTCCTCCCCCCCTCTACTCTCTGTTTTAAAATAACTATTTAAAAATGTAAAAACTCTTTGGTCTAGGGCCATATTTGGCATATTGGTCATGGTTTGTAGACCTTGAGGTAAAGGGACCATGCATGCTCAGAGAGCTTAATTTAATCATTGAGTTGAGTCTTAAGTATAGTTATAGGATTGTATGTTTAGAAGGTCTTTAAAATGTAAGATAAATAGTAAAAATAGCTAGCAAGACTGATCTACATTATATAAAAGAAATTATTTTGAAAATTGCATATTACAGATTTTTTTAAAGATTTATTTGTGCATACAGAACTGGGGTACAGGCCAGAGACTCGGGGTGGTGAAAGACTTCACCAGAGACAGAGTGGGGAGTAGAACAGGCAGATTGACGAAGTATGCTGCTGAGGGGAGCAGTGGGCAGGTCAGGAGAGGTCTTCCACACCGTGTGGTCACCTCCGGGGCAGGCGGGAATCGAACTTATGCGGAAGTGGTTTCAGCTTCTTAGTGCAGTGCTTTAACCCACTGTGCCACCAGGGAGAGCCTACTTACAGATTTTAATGAGGCATCAAAGGCCCAAATAAATTATCTTTCTTGAGGTCATCTTGCTAATAAGGAGTAAAAGCCCTATTTAATCTTTCTTTAAAGATACTGTCTCTAAGCTAGTCTAGTCTTACTCAAATAAGAAATTCTAATCACTGTTGAATTCTCCTTGTTACTCTGTGTAGTACAGTTAAACAATATGGTTGCACTCATGGTTTGTTTTTATTTGAGGAAATTATTGAATACCTGGAAATAAGCACCCTGAAAAGAAAGAAATGCTATGGGGGGTGGCAATTTGAGGAATTTTTGAACAGAGATTTTTGCTTTAAGCTCTTTGTTCATTTTTATAAAGTCATATGTTTATATTGTTTTCTTAGAATAAATGAGGAAACTTCAGAAATTCAGTGTAAGAGATTCCCTTGAGTACAATTTAAATTAGAAATGGAAAAGATCACAGTCTCAAAATTTATATGTAGGTTCCATGGAACTTTCTTTACACTCCTTAACTGGGGTACAGGCCAGGGGCACAGGTGTGGTGAGAGGATTCACCAGAGACAGAGTGGGGAGCAGAACGGGCAGATCAATGAAATACACTGCTGAGGAGAGCAGCGGGAGGGTCAGGAGAGGTCTGCCGAGCCATGTGGTCACCTCCGGGGGCTGGTGGGGATCTAACTCATGCGGAAGTGGCTTTAGCTTCTCAGTGCTGTGCTTTAACCTGCTGCGCCACTAGGGAGGGCCTCTTTACACTCCTTTTAAATACATTTTAAAAAATAATTTCTTCCCTCTTCTTTTTAAAATAGTAACATTGAGCAGTTTTGCTGTTATTTCAAAGAACTACCTGCTGTGGAGTTAAGGAATGGGAAAACAGCAGGAAGGCGAACATACCACACCAGGAGCCAAGGGGAGAACAATGTGTGAGTTCTAAGAATATGTCCTTTCTGGCTTTGAGCTGCAAATGACTCTTACTGGTTATTTCCACTGCATTATGTGAGTTAATAGATACTGATGTTTTTCAGAATGCTTCTTCAAAAGTTTGTGTTTAATCTTAGTAAACAGCGGAATTCATTTCATTTCTGCAGGATAAATTTTGCAGCCTTTGTGGACTTGACATTCTAAAATTGACAACTATGTGTCATATACAGTTCTAGGTTTTCTAGGTTTAGATCAGCATGAATGTCATTAGATGTCTTTGTAAGTGGATTTGTTTAATAATAAACCTGTTTGGATAATAAAGCTAGTTTATAGTTAGAAAATTAATTATAGGGTATTATAGCCAATTTGTAGTTGATAGGGGAAAGGGAAAAATTTAACAAGTGATTGTTGAGAACTGATATATATCCAGTTTAGTGTGACCATACTCTACTTTGGTTTTAGATGATCTATCTTATAGTTGTGACTGTAAGGCTTATGTTTTTCCATCTCTTTAGGATTGAAATAAAGCTATGATTTATATCTCTATATATGTTAATGTAATTTTTTCCTGTTCCCCACCCCCACACAACCTATTCTCACACATTCTCAGAAGTCATTTTATGATCCAACACTCTTTTGTATAAGTGGCTGAAGGAGAATGGAAAGGAACATGTTAGAATAGTATGCAGTATGGATAGAGCCAAAATATGGGGGAACTTCAAAGTCAGACATTGGAGCAGGGATGGAATGACATCACTAGAAGTGGTGTCTTAGAGGTTACTATGGTAGCAGCATGTGGGATGAATTGGAAAATACCTACATTTAAGGAGGCTTTCACACTTAGTAGTAATTGGGTTTTAGGGAGTAGCAATGAAATGGGGAAAAAGTATGTTTGCAGGAAAGTTAAGGCAAGAAATAAGTATTACTTGATGCATTAGTGGCATTTAGGGTTTAGCTACAAACTGCAGAAATTGCCTATGGTCATCTTAGGCAGAAAGGAATTTGTTAAAGTTCTGTTGGTGAGCTAACCACTGTTGGATGGGTGAAAAATCAGGTCTGGAGACCAGGCATCCAGGACCCCAGCACAATCACCCCACATAAATGTACCTAAAGACATCACTGCTGCCTGCCCACAGCATGATACCTGTTCCCATTTCTAGCATGACTGGAGTTGGGTGCTGGCTGTCTTCTGCTATTGCTGCTCCTGCATCCAGAAAGGGTTTGGCACTGTCTCAGCTTCTTTGTGTCACTAATTATTCCTGCCATATATCGCCAGAACCCAGATAAAACTAAGCTCTGGCTGAAAAAGCAAGTGTCTGACCATTTTAGTTTCTGCAGTATAAGGCTATGACTCTCACCAAGATATTTAAAGTGGGAAATTCCTCAAACTTAAGGTTCAGATTATTAGGAAATCAAAAATTGACTTGTATACCAGGGACCTGCAACAAGGTTAGAGAAAGAAGAAAGGGTAGAGAAAGAAGAAAATGTCTGAGAGATTAATCCAGGTGTTGAAGAGTATCGTAGCTGTATTGACAGATATACTAATAGAAGCCGAGAAAGTGTACTAGTTTACTATACAGGGTATAGTGAAGTGTACTACAGACAGAGAAATGCAGAAATTAATAGATTTAAACCTCCATGGCTTATTTTCTCATGTAAAAGTTGGGGATTATCTGTTTAGGACTGTTGCACACAATCATCAGACTCCTTCCACTTTGCCTTTCCACCAACCCTGGGATGGGGCCGTAGAGTGCCACCATTTTGTCTTCACTCCAGCTAAAAGGAAGAAGGTAGGGTTAATGAAACAGACACAACTCTTTTTCTTTAAGGAAATTTCTCAGAAATTGGACACATTCAAAAGTTTTTTATTCTAGGAGATCATGTGCCCAGCAAAAAAAGGAAGTTCTATTCCAGTGAGAGAAGAGGAGGATATTAGGGAGCAGTCGGGAGAATACAGAGAACAGGTACTTGAGCTTAGAGCATATTGAGTTTAAAATAACAAGAAAATAATCCAGTAAAAAATTCTTGTTGGAAACAGTAGAAACCTAGATAAAAGTGATCATGAGAAAAATCTGATTTTAAGATTTGGATTTGAAAGTCATTAGCATAGTCATGTGTTCAAATTTTGTGACTAGTTGAATTCTCTGGGGAAGAGATGAGCATATGGTCATAGACTGAGGTCTGGAAAGTGCTTCTGGTGAGGGACAAGAGGGAATAATGCAGGAGATGGAGAAAGAGATTCTATTACTTGTTTATAATTCTTTAAGACATAGATTCTTAGTATATATTTCAGTAATTTGGCTTGTAGCTTACCTTTTGATTTATTGTACAGCTTTGGCACATTGAAAAATCTTTGTGTCAGTACACAGGTCCCTGAATAATGTTTCTTTCAGTGCAGGTTATTACACCCTGCTGACAATGAAAGATTATTTGAGGACCTATTTTCCTTATACCTTCTTTGGTTGCAGTTTCTAGCAACCTATTGATGAAATTACGTTAAGACTTCCTCTAGTCACTGCTGCTTGCATAGGTGTTTGAGTTGCTTTTACTTAACTCTCAGAAAAGACCAAGCCCTTTTTATGTTCTCACTTTTTATTTATTAGGGATTTTGAACAGTTGGACATTATGCATGGAATTAGAAACCTCTCACTAATGCTAAGGGCACTGCCCTTCCTCTTTTCCAGGTCTTTGGTGGAAGAGTTCAGAAAGACACTCTGTGCTTTATGGCAAGGTAGCCAGACTGCTTTTAGCCCAGAATCTTTATTTTATGTTGTTTGGAAGATTATGCCGAATTTTAGGTAAGTACTGTTTAATAATGAATGATACTTAAAAATATTAGTAGTATTCTTTGCATAGTTCCTGAAAATTATCTAAGGAATGGTGGTATTCTAAATTATAATAAAAACCTTTTCCACAGAGGAAAAAAATTTGGGTATATCAACCCAAATAAATGTGTCTGTTTAATAAATAATAGGTAGCCATTAGAAATGTCATTAACAAATATGTAACATTTTATAATTATAAAAACAAAGCTTTTATAAATACTATATGCTCTAGAAAAACAGGGGGAAAAAAATCTCCTTGATTCTTTCAAAATCTTATAATGAGTAATTACCAGGTGGCACAATGGGTTAGGTGATAGCCCTGCAAGCTGGCAGCAGCCACCTCAGTGCCAGTTTGATACCCGGCTGTGGAGGTAACCCTCATGGCACAGCAGACCCTTCCTGACCCGCCCGCTGCTCCCCTCAGCAGTGTGCTTCATCCCTGCCTGTTCTTCTTCCCACTGTCTCTGGTGTATCCTCTCACCACCCCTGCACCTCTGACCTGTACCCCAGTTCTGTGTGACACATAAATAAATCTTAAAAAAAAAAAAGAATAATTACCATCATACACTGTTTTATTACTTCAGCTAAAAGAAAATCTAGATGTGATTAATGTAAATCAGTAGGTGTTATATTCACTGGCTTCTGAGACCCTTAGATGACTAATCCAGTCCCCTGGGATCCATTTTCCAGAAGGTAGATGGACCACATCCTAATGTTGCCTGTAAAGTTTGTGTTCTCTGAACTCTTTCTCGCTCTAGCCTCATTTGAGTTTGGAAGGTCTGCTATAGGAGGAATAGGTTAGTCATCCATGTAGGGATTCAGGTCATAGCCAATTTGGGGTACTTGTAGACAGCATGTTCTGTGGATTTTATATTTCTGAAACAAGTCATGATTCTTACCAGTCATAATTTTGGTGCCTAAATATATACTTGTCTCCTACCCCTCTCCCTCTTTTTTTTTTTTAAACTATTATACTGTAGAAAAACTTAGCAGTATATTTTGTTCTTTTTCCTAATTGTGTTTTAGATATATTTATAGTATGGAAAATGTTTAAGGGAACATCTTCAAAGACTAATTTGTTACCTTGCTATATAAAATCTAGCTTTGAGGATCTGACATTAGCTATTATTGTTACCCCGGTATCAGTTTACAGTTTTTTTTTTTAAGATTTATTTTATTTATTTATACATTCAAGATCTGAGGTATAAGCCAGAGGTACACAGGGGAATGAGAGAATTCACCAGAGATAAAGTAGGGAGCAGAACAGACAGATTTACTGAAATACACTGCTGAGGGGAGTAGTAGGCGAGATAGGAGAGGTCGCCTGCGCCATGTGGGTCAGCTGGAACCTAACCCTTGCACCACCAGGGAGGCCTCTGGTCTCTGTTATAAAGGAAACTTTTTTTTTTTTTTTAAAGATTTATTTATTTGTACATACAGAACTGGGTACAGGCCAGAGGCTCAGGGGCGGTGAGAGGCTTCACCAGAGACAGAGTGGGGAGCAGAACAGGCAGATCAACGAAGTACACTGCTGAGGGGAGCAGCGGGCGGGTCAGGAGAGGTCTGCCGCGCCATGTGGTCTCCTCCTGGGCAGGCGGGAATCGAACTCATGCGGAAGTGGCTTTAGCTTCTCAGTGCAGTGCTTTAACCCGCTGCGCCACCAGGGAGGGCCTATAAAGGAAACTTTTATGTGTCATGCATTTAAATATCCTCTCTGAAGAGCCTAATTTATATGGATTTAGAGTTGAGTGACTACTAAGTGGGAAGGTAGAAATGAATGCTAAGTTTACCATGTTTGGACTTAATATTATTTCTAACAATCACTAGATTCTTGAAATGGATTTAGTCTTTATACTTTATTAGTATATAATATTCCAAAAAATAATTCCACTTACAGAATGCCTACTATGTGCCAAGCACTTTAGGTTTTTTTTTTTTTTAATATTTATGCATACAGAACTGGGGTGCAGGTCAGAGGTGCAGGGGTAGTAAGAGTATTCACCACAGCCAGAACAGGAAGCAGAACAGGCAGATCGACAAAGCACACTGCTGAAGGGAGCAGCGGGTGGGTCAGGAGAGGTCTGCCACACTATGTGGGTCACCTCCAGGGCGGGGATTGAACTCATGCTGAAGTGGCTTTAGCTTCTTAGTGCTGTGCTGTAACCTGCTGCACCACCAGGGAAGGCCCCACTTCAGGTATTTTATATTTGAATTTCATTGAATATATATCAAAATTTCCCATCAAGATAGGAGGCATTGTCCCATTCTAAAGAAGGCAACACTAAGACATAGGAGTAGCATGTATATAGTTGTGTACATCTACTTGGTGTCAGGACCAGATTTAGAATCCAGATCTTGGTAGTGTTGGTTAGTGATAGATGTGTTAACAGTAATATGTGTCCACATGACTGAACAAAACCCACTATCTAGGTTTATACTGTTCTTGGTTTCTGTGGTAACTTACAGCCTTCCTCTTAATTAGGTATTTGCAAACTCTGTGAAACCTTGATCAATGAAATATGCTTTGTACCCTAAGTCTGCCCTTTATAGCTTTATAATTCATGATTGGTTTTTTAGATGCTTTATTTCATATGTCATAATATTCCTTTGATGAAAAGAAAGCATTTTTAGTAACCAGGTTGAGGAATTTGGCATGAAGTTCCCAGAATGATTTCTTTTACAATTATACTCTTAGAATTTTTTTTTTTTTAAAGATTTTATTTTATTTGTGCATACAGAACTGGGATACAGGCCAGAGATGTGGAGGGTGGGAGAATTCACCAGAGACAGAGTGGAGTGCAGAACAGGCAGATCAACGAAATACACTGCTGAGGGGAGCAGCGGGCGGGTCAGGAGAGGTCTGCCACGCCATGTGGTCACCTCCGGGGCAGGCGGGAATTGAACTCATGAGGAAGCGGCTTTAGATTCTCAGTGCTGTGCTTTAACCCGCTGCGCCACCAGGGAGGGCCCTACTCTTAGAATTTTTTAATGTGTGATTAGAATGGGTGCTTCTTTTAAATTGCTGAATAGTGTTCGATTGTGTATATATTATAACATCTTTATTCCCTTGTTTGTTGTTGGGCAGTTTCCATTGCTTGATTAAATAATGCTGCAGTACATTTGTCCCTTCGAATTAGTGCTTTTGTATTCTTTGGGTAGAAACCTAGGAGTTTAATTGCTGGATAATACTATAGATTTTAAATGTTTTGACAACCTACATACAGTTTTCCATAGAGACTGGATCAGTCTACATTCTCATCAACATTGTTAAGAAAAAGGGTTCTTTTCTCACACTGTCACCTGTACTTCTTCCTGGTCTTTTTTTGCTATGGGCTATTCTGACAGGTTTGAAGTTGTGTGTCACTGTGACTTTGACTTGAATTTCCCTCATAATAAGTGATGATGAGCGTTTTTTTTTTTTTTTTTTTTCATGTATCATCTTTGAAGAAGTGTCTATCTAGTTCATTTGCCCCTTTTTTTCATTGGGTTGTTTTCTTCTTTGAGTTATCTGAGTTCTTTGTAGATTTTGGGTATTAGCCCGTTATCATATGTATGACATTGCAAATATATACCCCCATTTAGTTGGATGCCTTTTAGTTTTAATGATAGTTTCTTTTGATGTGCAGGAGTTTTTCTTTAATTTGATGTAGTCCCAATTGTTTATTTTTCCTTTTGTTTTGCTTGCCATTGTGGTTGAATTCCCGAAGACATCACGAAGCCAGTGATGTAGAATATCTTGCCTATGTTTTCTTCTGTATCCATGTCTGATCCATTCGGAGTTATTTTCTGTTTATGGTGTAAGAGAATGAATGGCTCACTTTCATTCTTTGCATGTGGCCGTCCAATTATCCTAGCACCTCTATCTTACATTGTAATTCTTAATATAAATATGTCCACATATAAGATTGTCCTCATAAACATGCTTTATTTCTAGGATTCTAATTCCATTCCATTGAACTGTGCATCTATTTTTATTCTAAGATCATATCATTTGATTACTATTGCTTTGTAGTATAATCTGAAGTCTGGGAGTGTACTATCTTCTTTCTTATCAGTGCTTTCAATCTAAAGGGTCTTTTGTGGTTCTATCTAAATCTTAGTAATGTTTGCTCTATTTCCTTGAAGAATGCTCTTGGAAATCTGATAGGGATCACATTCAATCTGCATATTGCTTTGGATAAAATAGTCATTTTAACAGTGTTAGTTCTTCCAGTCCTTGTGTATGAAATATCTTTCCATTCCTTGTGTCTTTACCCTCTTTCGTTAATTCCTAGGTATTTCTTTTTGATGTGATTGTAAATGAGATCATTATTTTTTATTTCTTTCCCTACAATTTGTTGTTTCCATACAGGAATACAACTGGATATTAAGCTTGCAGTCTGCCATTTTGGTGTACTGATTTATTGCCGCTAATGGTCTTTTGGGGTTGTCTACTTTATTGTTATTTCATCTGAAAAGAGATGGTTTTCTTTTGCAATTGGACTCCTTTTCTTTCTCAATTAATTCTCTCAGAAATTAGGATTTCTAATAATGTGTTAAGTATTCGTGTCATGAGAGCAGGCATCCTTGTCTTGTACCTGATGTCAGAGGAGAAGCTTTCATCACTGAGTATCTTGTTTAGCTTTGAATTTACCATAAATGGCCTTTGTTATGTTGAGGTTATGTTTCTTTTGTGCCCATTTTATTGAGCACTTTCACCATAAATGGATGTTGGTTTCTTTTGTATTTATTGGTAGGATCATGAGCCTATTTTACTTTTGATTACTGTTTCAATTTCCTTGCTTAAAATTGGTCTGTTTGACCAGGGGAGAAAATTATAATAATAATGAACAGCTATATGCCAGAGACATTTTATGGGGGTGGGTGGAGTGGGGAATAGGATCAAAAATGGTGGGGGGAGGGAAATGCACTGGACTATGGTGATGACATATGGGTGATTTGGTGATGGGAAGCCCAAGGGGATTACAATTGAGATGGAAAAATACACAAAATGATATAAATATTGTATTATTTTTTTTTTTTAAAAAAGGTCTGTTCACATTTTCTATCTCTTCCTGATTCAATCCTGGTATCATTCTTAAGAATTTATGATTTCTTAACTTTCCAATTTGTTGACATAAAGATGTTCATGTAGTTTAGATCTTCTCTATTTTTGATATATTTTTTTAAAGATTTATTTATTTGCATATACAGAACTGGGGTACAGGCGAGAGGCGCAGGGGCAGTGAGAGGATTCACCAGAGACAGAGTGGGGAGCAGAACAGGCAGATCAACGAAGTACACTGCTGAAGGGAGCAGCGGGCGGGTCAGGAGAGGTCTGCCGCGCCATGTGGATCACCTCCGGGGCAGGTGGGGATCGAACTCATGTAGAAATGGCTTTAGTTTCTTAGTGCTGTGCTTTAACCCGCTGCGCCACCAGGGAGGGCCTATTTTTTATTTTTTTTTAACTATTTCATTTATGGTTCTATTTATTAGAATTTTCTTTCTCAGCTTAGAGGTTTGCCTATCTTTTTTTTTTTTTTTAAACCAGCTGTTGGCTTCATAAATAAATTTATTGTCTCTTTTATTTCTATTTTCTGTTATTTCCTTCCCTCCATGGCTTTGCTTTCATTTGTTTTTCTTGTTCTCTATGGTACAAGGTTAGATTGGTTACATGAAATTTCTCTTGAGCTAAGCATGTACTGCTATAAATTTTCCCCTTTGTACTTATAGCTATTATTCTTATAATGTGTGTGAAGCATGGGGACCCTGAATTATGTTTCTTTTATATCAATCCCAAAGTAAACGTGTTTTTATGTTTATAAAGTCCATTTTCTTTGATGTAACCTTGATTAATATAAGAGTGTGTAGGGAATCTAATTCCTTGGAACGGGATTTGAGGACTTTGAAATACAAAAGTGTGTGTAGTTGTGTGTGTAGCTTTTTGATTATGAAATAAATGCAGAACTATATCCTCTAAATGTATATGGGTACATATACATATACATATGGAAATCATCCATAATAGGTTTTTACCTAGTAGGGAAACAATTCCTGAATTTTGACCTGGCCAACATACATGTTAACACATTTCTTCTGGCTTCCTAGTGTGTCTGTACAGTCCGTTTCTTTTTCATAAAATTAAATCTAAAGTAGGCAAAATACACATTGTTCAAAATTTCAAAAAGTGAAAGAGATAGCAATGAAAAGTATTTTCTTTTACTCTGTTCCCAGCCTTTCATTTTGCTTTCCAGGCTAACCATATTACTAAATTTGTATCTCTCCTTTCAGTGATATTTTGTGTAAGTATATATAGGCAAGTGCATGTGTCAAACTTGTAACATGAATGGTGACCTTTTTTATTTTCAGATGAATCATGGCAATACATAACTTTCATAGTGTGTTTCACAGTTGCATAATATTCCACATTATGGCTTTATTATATTTAATGTAATAGTCTCCTGCCAGTGGTTATGTAGATTGTCAGATCCTTGGTTGTTTTAAACAGTGCTGAAGTGGACAGTCTCAAGCATATATAGGCTAGTATTTAAAATAATTGCTGGATCACAGGATATTTGTATTTGTGATATTGACAGCCTTCTGCTAGTTTTCATTACTTCTTGTTTAACTTAAAATGATTTTTTCCTGTTGCCTCTTTGTCAAGGCCTTCTTGTGTACAGTATTTGCTTTGTAGTCCGTATTTCTTTCTTTAATGTTAATACTCTCCAGGAAAGCCTGTTGACAGTTAAAATCTGTGGTAGTGATTTATTCCCTTGCTTCTCATATGATGTATGTGGTGTTTGTACTTTCATATACAACTTGACTTAATATATTTTGCCTTGACTTCCATAACAGTTTTGTTTTAAAATCATTTGTGGTAATTGTTTAAAAATTACAGGTGAATAAATTATTGAACTATTCTTAAGTTTGCTTTTTAGGAAATATAAAAAAGTCTCTATAGACAATAATTTACATGTGGTATTTTAATAGCATTTTGGGTTATTAATAGAAAACTTAAAAAAACACTATGCTGTTTATGTTGTGTATAATATCATTTTTATCATTTTAATTTTGGGGTGTCTTTGCCTTGAAGAAATTCAGCCATTATTGATGCCATATACTGGATAGGAAAATTAAACCTAATTGATTTTGATTTTATAAAATGTTCAGATAATTGTTTTGCAGACAAAACAATGACTAATGATTCTTTCATGAATCTTGAGGAGTACTTTAAATATGAACAGATACCTAAAAATATTAGTGTATTCTAAGTGTGTTTTAAGTATGTTAGAAGTTTGTTCTGGAGTGACAAAGAGCTTAATTATGTTGAGGTATAGCCTATTCACTAGTGGTCTTTTGCCATGTTGCACATTATGGATGGCTACTGCCAAAATGTAGAGAACTGTAACGTAAAGATGTCTGTCACAATTACACACACTGTGTGTCTGTATTATGTATGTCTTGTTTCATTATTTGGAATGTCTGCTTTCCATCCTCAAGGCAGATGCAAAATAACATTTTCTTTGATCTTTATTGGAAAATTTCTTTTAGATTTGGGTATATATGGCTTGCTTCCTTGTGGAAAAATTGTCTTTTTGTGAAGAGACAGTTGCTCTTGGGATCCTGTGCATTGGGCCTCAGCAGTGTCCCTCATTCAGAAGGGGTATTTCGTGATCTTTTAGCATTTCTACATTTGCAGTGTGCGCTCCAATGATACTTCTCATAAATCATCAAAACAGTGTAGGCAATCAGGAGTAAGTGGTAACCGTTGTCTAAGGTGACAAAGGAGTGAAGATTAAGAGTAATGTTAAAATTGGAGCCACTGTTATTTCCCTCTGTTTTCCTTTTCCTCTTCTAATTCTGGTCTGTCACAGAGATACCAGCTGAGTCTTCATAAATTCATTTCCTCACTATACACAAACAGCTGTTTGGGTGATAATCACTGAAATAGTTTGTATACAAAACATGAACACTGTACCCAAATGTGAGCAGTGTTCAATAACATGAATACCCGTATCAAGAGAAACCTAAATGACTACTATGGGAACTCTGCAATCCACATTGTAGGAGTGGGAAATTTATATCTTAAGTCTTTATTAAGACTTTCAGGTAAGTCATAAAAGTTTTATAACAATATTTAAAAATGGAGTTATGTCTCTTTAGTCAGAATCGGAAGAACCTATTCTTAGAAGAATCAGATGATTTCTGGTAAATATAACAAACTGAAACAGAAACCCATAATTTACCTTACAAAACAGATTATTTCATTTATCATTAAGTATTTGGCTTACATTTTGCAGATCATTTTTTAAAAGGTTTATGTTGAATGAAAATGCAAGTTGACAGTACTGGTTTTAGTGATACATTTAGAGATGGTGATTAGATACTAGGTTATTTTGTTGAGTGATACATTTAGAGAGATGGTGATTAGATACTAGGTTATTTTGTTGAATGAAATATTTTCATGTATAATAGGATGTCAGATATTATCTAAATATATCTGAATAATGAGGAAAGCGTAGGTTTTATTGACAGTTTGAAATATCTTTTAGATATAGAAAGGAACTGCTTTGAATCCTTCTGACTATGAATTTTAACTTTTATTCATTAGATTATAAGTTATTCTATAAAGAATGATTACAAGAATTACTTGAACATATATTGATATTTAAATAGTTAGAGTTAAATCAGAAGTCACTTTAGCATTTCACCTTAAGTTCTACTGATAAGGTAGATCATTTTCATAATAAATAATTTAGAGGAGGAAAATACATATTTACAAATACTTGGGTTGAAAGAAATTTTGATTATGGAACATTCATTGCCTGGAAGAATGGAGGAAATTTTTGATTTGAGACCAGGCCAGAAAAATTTGCATAAAGAGAACCTTCCAGGCTGGCAAAATACAGGCATAAATCTTTTGTCTATAGTTTCATGAAAGTTCTTTACATATTATCACTTGGTAACCTACACTAACCTCTATGACATTCCAACTGTGCCAACTTAATTTTCTGTAACACTTTATTACATATCATTAGTTCATATTACCTGTTCATATACCATTAATATTGATGTAAGCATTCCAAAGAAAATTTTACTATAGATATTCAAGTTTTAGATGGGGTAGAACTGTTTACAGTTAAATATATCTTAAAAAGTATTTTTTAAATGTCTTGACTTAGATTAGGATACAGGTATAGAATGTTAGACGTGTTTGTTCATTTGGTGATTTAGACCTTCTTTCTGGTGAGGGTACATGTAAAATTTTAACATCTTTGATCATCTTCTGAAGGAACCGTGTGGGATGGGTAAGATTCCATCTAAGAGCTGTGGGGTTTACAGCTCCACCTCTGCTTTAGAGTAATGCTCAGACAGGTGTAGCCCTCTGATAATCTTATCCCTCTGATAACCCCATGATAATCTTCCTGTAAGAGCTAGGCAAGTCACACATACTTCCCCTTTTTTTGGCTCCTTAGTTTTTTATTTCTAAAATGAGGTCAATTGAGATCGTTACCAGTTCAATTAGTTCCAATACACCATGTTTCCAAGTAGTGGAAGACAAACTTTATGTGGAGTGGGCATGAAAGGCCAGGTACCCTTGCTGTGCTCCAAGAATGGGGCTGCAACCTTTCCCGATGCTTTGCCCTCTGGTGACAGACTGTTTCTGTTTGCTTTAAGGGGTTATCAGCAACAGGATGCCCATGAATTCATGCGCTACCTTTTGGACCACCTGCACTTGGAACTCCAAGGAGGTTTCAATGGAGTCTCCCTCTCAGCAATTCTGCAGGAGAATTCTTCCCTGTCTGCAAGTAACAAATGTTGCATGTAAGATGGTTTCTTTTTGTCTTTTAGGAAGACCTCATACATTTCTGTAGGTATTATTAGATTTATAATAGAAAGTAGAGTGTATTCCTGGATCTTTGCTGAATGAAAATTTTGTACACTTGAGCTTCAAGTAGCTGTGTCTGTGCCTCTTGCTTCCAGACCAGAGACATCTGATATTTATATATTGTGGGGGTAGGGGGAATTGTACGGTTTAGCACTTACTTTGAATATGAATTTTCATTTTGGAATTGAACCTACCTAAGTTTGTTATTTAACGAAAGCAGGCATTTGTAAGTTCTCACAATATTTTCTACTTCTCAGTATGAACAAAACAAGCCTACTAGATTGATTTCCGGGCCTTAATAACCCAAAACATTCCATTGAGTTCTGAATGTTTACTTTGCTTGAGGTAGGATGCTTTACTGTTATGTTAGCCTGGATTTTGGTTAAGTGTAGTTTCCTTTGTTCACAATTTGAAAAGTTTTGTTTTGTATGCAGGAAAGGGATTTACAAAACAAATACCCCAAAGGGAAAAAGAATAATACTTAGGGACTGCTGTAGAATTGCCTAAATTTGACTATGTAAGACAAGGTCTGGCCTTGCCTGTTCCTAGTAGCTGTGATTCATTCCAAGTAGATTCCAGTACAGAAAGGGAAGATCTCTGGCCTGGTAGAATTGTTCTCAGTGCTAGCATCAAATTTAAACAGATTTTGTCTTTTCAGTTTATGATGGCATATACATACACAAAGAACAGCAAACTGGGCTCTATCAAGGATAGGCTATATGAAGTTATATGTCTAGTATTTTATAGAATGCCCAGATACCTTATGAAGTCACTCTGTAACATTCATAGGATGTTGTTATAATAACTAATAATTATTAGTAAGTTCAAGTTCCATGAATGAGTTAGGATCAGAAAGAAATCAAATACCAAAAATCACATTTCCCTAAATTCATTGGAAGAAGCGTTTCACAATATTTGCTAAAACTAGAAAAAAAAAAGGCTTCTGTGAAATATTTGTGTTTACAAAATAATTAAATAACCCTTCTGAAATTAGAGGTGGTAAAATGGTGTAAATAAGTCGCAGATTGGTCCTTTATGAAGAGCCCCCAGTAGCATATGCCTAAGTAGCAGCATTTAAAATAAGTCATTGTATACTAATCTTAATGCACACCATGAGCCAAGAGCTGGTTAGTACACCTTTCTAAGAAAAAGAAATTTTTATTAATTAAAGTTTGAATTTTTCATGAAAGCCAGCATTGTGTATGAGCTTTAGTGTGAAAGGATCAGTCATAAACCTTTTATTGTCCAACTGTTCCCAATGTACCTTTTTCTTTATAGCCTAAGAATTAAAAAAAAAAAAATGCTGCATTGTATTTCTTTTGCCAGTAAGGAAGGAAGCCCTTTTCTAGAAAAGGAAGCAAACTTTTAAATAATAGAACTGCTTGGGTATGTATTGTCTGTCTAACTATTGCAGTAGTCTTAACTTGGAGCGGCTTAGAAAGTACAGTTTAGTGTGTTATTGATTGCAAGTGACAGAAACTATGACAAATTGCTGCTAGCATAAAAGAGTATTTACTGATTCAGTAACTGCCTAAGTACACAAAGGCTCGTATGTAATTGTTCATCATAGTACTATTGATAGCAAGCAAAAGAATCTGGCTATTCTGGTTAACTTATTAGTTAAGTTAAGAGGAGCAGTATCATGTTAAGAGCAGCTGCCCAGGGCAGACCAGCTGTGTGACCTTGGGTGGAGTTACCTAATCTTTGGATGTCAGCTTACTAGTCTAAATTGGGGGATAACTGATTCCACTTCACAAAGATGGCTGTGAGGGCTAATTCATTCAATAAATGGAAAGCACTTAGAGTGAACCTGGACATGTAGTCAGTACCATTTAAGTATTTGCTACACATGTTACACAATTGTTAAAAAGAATGTGTATATGTTCAAAATATATACATAGGGGAGAAGGCAGTTGTTTTATTTTAATAATGCTAATAAATTGCTTTTAAGGTCTTTTTTAGAAGTAATAAGATAATCTTGTTGAACACCGGACAAAGCTGAGAAACAGGATAGTTGGCTTTTTGTTGTCCTTAAAGTGGTGTATGCTAGATCTTCCTAAGTATTTACAGTATTGTTTTATGTGAGCTTTTAAAAAGCTCACATACATATACTGGTAATTACTAAACATATTGTTAAATTCTTTACCTCTCTTCCCAAATCAGTTGAACACCTAAAAAGTATGTTTGTGTTCACAGTATTTTGACAGTTCCCTATCAGATGACAGGCCTTGCAAAGATTCAAATATAATAGTTTTCCTGGTTTCTGAAGGTGTATTGGGAATGTCCTTTTGTTCTGTTGTACATGGTGCATTTGTTAGAGATTGCAAAAGTCCAGTTACTTTTAAAGAAAGTAGTGGATTGGAAACAGGTTAAGGCCAGTCCATGACTTAACAAAACTGCTCATTTCATATACCTCTAGTTAGGTTTGAATTTTTTTGGTAATGTAAATATAAATGATTTACATATTTCCTTGAAGTGAGTTATCTGTGGGAGTTTCTTTTAGTTTTATATTGAGCTGTTTTCCTCTGGTGATTTTCTTAGAAATGGAGCATCTACGGTTGTTACCGCTATATTCGGAGGCATCCTTCAGAATGAGGTTAACTGCCTCATCTGTGGGACAGAATCTAGAAAGTTTGATCCATTCCTAGGTAAGATATTTTTACTAAATAATTTTAATGTTAAGACAGTAAAGAAAGAAACCTTTAACTTCTGAAATTACTTAAATGTGGTTATATGTCTTTAACAATTCTTTTCCTATTTTCTTTCAAGACCTTTCTTTAGATATTCCAAGTCAGTTCAGAAATAAACGCTCTAAGAATCAAGAAAATGGACCAGTTTGTTCGTTACGAGGTAATTATACTTAAATGTTTTAGAATTTTTTCCCTTTGCAGAAAATACCTGAATAGATTTATAAGCTCCATCTACACAGGTATATTAATAATGTTAATGTATTGCTGCTACTGACCTTAAGTCAAACCTGAATGTTTCTTATTCAAAAACATTCTATTTAATAAAAATAACCGCCAGAGATAGTAGGTCAAGTATAAAATATTCTTTAATACTGGTTTTAAAATGGGAAATATAATTTTCTCTTTATATTTGTGATGTGATCACAGGCTAACTTATTTATAAACATTTGATCAAGAAAGGAAATCAGTAAGAAATTATAGCTTGAGACTCTAATTCCTTTAATAATTTGGACTGACTTCACTGTATAATTTCAGAACCATAATAATGAAATTTTAAAAAGAAAAGTGTATGTATATATAGGGAACAGAATTTTTTTTTTAAATAAACTAATGTTTAACAAAGGCCAGTAAGTCTAGATGATCTGAGACAGAGATTTCCTCAGGTTTCTCTCATGTCTCCCCCATCTGGAATTGGTCATATAACTGCTTCCTTATTTATCCAATGATGCTTTAATAACAATACTTTGCTTTCTTTGGACTGTCTGGGAGGAGGGTGTTAGATGGCTTAGGTGCGTGGTACTACAAGAAAGGTAGCAAAAAGATTTGCTTTGTGTTTAAGTGACAAAGACTCACTGAAATCTGATGGGAATGGTATTATCTTCAGGGGCCTTTAAGCCATACAGGTGTTTAGCGTTTGACTGGACTGGGAACATGGTTTCTGTGTTATCAGATTTTATTTTAATTTTGTTGAAGTGCTTACTGTTAGATTGAAGACAGTGAATTTTTAAAAAATGAGGCAACTAAGTGCATTACCTTTCTTGGACACCCAGAGTATCAGGGGTTTTAGTTACTTGATATGTATGTATCTTTATTAAATGGAAGCTATGTGGTAAATAGTCTGCTTGGAAGAAAATACTTGTGTGTTCTTTGGATCTATAATTAAGCTTACTTTCCATTTAAAAGAGAAAAGTGGTAGTGAAAAAGACCCTTGAAATTATTTGAAGTATGCACAATGCAAAGCTAAAATATATCTAACTCCAGTTGTAACGTGCCATCAAAAAGAAAATGTAAAATATAGATCAAAGAATCCTAAACAGAACATTAGCAAATGGAATTCAGTATTGTAGTAAAACAATAATATATAGAGATCAAGTAGGATTTATTCCAATAAAACAAGACCTTTAGGGAAAGGAAGTCAAAATTCCAAATCCATTATTACCGTTTAAAAGTTTTTTTTCTTGTTTTAAATGGGGATAAAAAATGTTATTTGATGAGGATTAGCCATCAAAGCTATCAGTGATCGTCATAATTAATAGTGAAGCACTAGGATTTTTCATTACAGTCAGGAGGCTTAGTGAGGGACAAGGCAAAAGGAAAAGAGGACAGTCAAATTGATTACATAACTTGGACATTTCAAGAGAGTTGGTTGGGAATGTTTTCTTTTATAATTATCTCTGGAGAACTGGATGGGCCAGGAAACCTGCTTTGCTTTCTTTTATATAGCAAAATATCCTGCTCAGAATTAAAAAGTGCTAAAGTATATTTAATGAGGAATAATTTTATTCACTTTACCCTGTCATGGCTCTTACATCTGTATAATACTGGATTTTTGTAACTTTTTGTATCAGATGACTCCCTAAATCTATTGTAATTTGTTTAAAAGTTTCTCTGTAAGCACAAATTCTTAAAAATGTATAGGGGTAATTTATGATGATAAAATAAATGGTATAGTGTAAATAGTAACTTATTTAGGGAGATACTAATTTCATCTCTAAAATACATTTTTCCCAAATTAATTCAAGGTTTCAAAACGTGTTTAACATGAAAAAACCACGGGCACAGCCTTTTGATTTTGTTTTCAGGGAGCTATAAATATAGCACCTATTAAGGAAGAAATTATAAATTCTACTGCATGATATTAAAAGACAAAGTAAAAAGAGAGATGAAACAATTTTTTGCAGTTTATACAAATGGGGCTAAGTATATGATTTAGCAACTAAAAGAATGTTATGTGTCACATTCAAGAAAGTAAAATTGGTCAACTTGATAAAGATGGAAATTGGGCTAAATTTGGGGAATAGTCAAAAGAACATAAAGAGGAAACTGAGCCATTCCTTACAGAGTAACTGCTCAGAAATGACATGCTTGAGGATTTTTTTTTTTAAAAAGGCCAAATTGAATTATTTTTAACTCTTAGAAAGTGAAAAAAGCTTGTGGTCGTATGGCAACAGTTTTGTACTTACCCAACTGAGATTTTATTTTTTATTTATTTATTTTTTTTTAGATTTATTTATTTGTGCATACAGAACTGGGGTACAGGCCAGAGGCTCAGGGGAGGTGAGAGGCTTCACCAGAGACAGAGTAGGGAGCAGAACAGGCAGATGGAGGAAGTACACTGCTGAGGGGAGCAGCGGGTGGGTCAGGAGAGGTCTGCCACACCATGTGGTCACCTCCGGGGCAGGCGGGAATCGAACTCATGCGGAAGCGGCTTCAGATTCTCAGTGCAGTGCTTTAACCCGCTGCGCCACCAGGGAGGGCCCTACCTAACTGAGATTTATAGTGTCACATCTTTATTGAAACTCCCTAGAGGCTGCTCACAAGCACACTAGTATCTAGTCACCCTGTTGATGCAGTGGTGACAGTGAAGCTGTTTCATTAGGGAACAGCAGCAGGAAAGAAGTGTAAGAACACTTCTCCTAGAGGGAGTTGGGGTTTCTTAAACACTGTTTAAAACAGTTTTTAAAAGTAGCTTGTACTGTTTGTCTATGAAAAGGAGGGAATTCTGTACTTGTTTTATGTATACATAAAGCTGTAGGACCACTTGATGGTTATACTGTAAGTTTGTATTTTTATTCTTGCCTTTTTGAGAGACCCAAACAGATGAACCTCCTTGACACTGAAGAGAAGGATTTCTTTTTGCAAAAAAAAGCAGGCTTGGACAGGGGCTGTGGGTGTGAGACCTGCTTATGGAAAATGGCAGGTAGCCACTAACATATCCTCTAGTTTCATGGCAGTGAGAAGATAGTAGAAAGAAGGCCAGTATTTGCATGCATTGGTCTTAAAACTGCAAATGAATTGCTGTAAATGTTCAGATAGTCTTTATTTTGATGATCTCAATACTTTTAAGAGTCGAATTCCTGAAATTTAGAGAGGTTCTAAATTGTTACCAAAGGAGACTTATGATACCTCCTAGTAACTTTTTGATAATCCCCACTAAATATCAGCATATTTACACACACACAGGGGTTCAGTGCAGGTTACATATAAGGAGAAAGGCTGCCTGTTGTTTCTGCTTACGTGTTGTGTGACTAGGGAGACACTTAGGTAAGAGTCAACAACATATTATTCTGTTCAGTTTAATGAGATGGGGAGGTGGAGTGATAACATACAAGAATGCCTACTGAGATGCTGATTTTCTTTAACTTATAGATGAAAATTATTAACAGGGTACATTTTAAGTATATGACTTAGTACATTCACTATCATACAACTATCACTAAACTATTATATAGTATGGTGATAAAGTTAATAGTCAGCCCTTAGTATCTAGTGGTTTGGTTCCCGGACCCCTCACAGATACCAAAATCTGAGGAAACTTTAATGTCTTATGTACAAATGATGTAGGGTAGGTGCAGATCCAGCAAGATGGTAGCAGTGAAGACACCAAGTTTATTTCCTCCATATTTTCGCAACTCGACGGCTATCTTACAAAATCAGAACAACACTCCAGAAACAATATTAAGTGAACTGTGTTGATACTGGGACAGTGAAACCTACAAGAGGGCTGCTGGGAGGGACCCCCGTAGTTGCTGAATCAGAGGTATACACCAACACTGGAACACATTAGTCAGTGCTGGGCCTCAAGGGGTGCAGAGCAAGGATTACTGACTCTCATTATAGACTAACTGGAGCCTGAATCTGTAGGGAGAAATAGGTCAGATTACCAGTGTCTCTTCATAGAAAGGGCTAGTACTTGAAGGTTAAACTGGATTATTCAAAACACCTGCTACCCCAAATCTCAGGGCCAAAACCAAGACGACAGATGAATACTTGCATAAACCAGAGATTAAGCACCTGTTATTAAAAGGAGCAAACACCCCCCAGGATAAGGCTCTGTGCTGGAAAAAAAGAGGAGCAACCCCTGGCTAATGGCCCCATGGCAACTATAGTCTTTGCGCAGTGATACATGTAGTGCTCAAAAATAGCCTATAGATGAAAGTGGACTTGAAATAACTCTGGTACACACAGAATCTTTAATGTATAAATAAATCTTTAAAAAATAAGAACTGGGGTACAAGCCAGAGAGGTATGGGGGTGAGAGGATTCACCAGAGACAGAGTGGGGAGCAGAACAGACTGATGAACAGAAATACACTGTTGAGAGGTCTGCTGCATCATGTTCATCAGCTCCCTGGCCAGGGATCAAACTTATGCTGCAGTGGCTTCATAGTGTTGTACTTCCAGGGAGGTCCTAAAATGAATAATTTTACCAGAGTGTCCACAGACTTGTTACTAGAAATATTTCAAGCCAAAGAAATTGGCAGGATATACATAGAGTACATAAACAAATTTTCCAGCCAATACTACTAAACACATTTTACAAGGCCATCATCACACTGGAAGCTAAACCAAAAACAACACAAAAAAAACTATAGACCAGTCTCCCTAGTGAACACAGGTGCTAAAATCCTCAAAATCTTAAACTGAATCAATAATGCATCAGAAAGATTATACACCATGACCACGTGGGATTTATTCCAAGGACACAGGGTGGTTCAACATCCAAAAATCAATTAACATAATTTGCCACATCAACAAAAAGAAAAGTAAAAGCCACATGATCATATCAATACATGCTGAGAAAGCATCTCAAAGTTCAACACCCACTTAAGATAAAAGGAACATAACATAGTAAAAACCATATATAACAGACCCACAACTA